TTAACTTTAACTTGTAAATTCACATAGAATTTCAACAAGTGGTAAACATCATATCGGTTTAACCAACTTGTAAATTCACACAGAATTTCAACAAGTGGTAAACATATTCTTCTTCTCTCTGCCCCCTGCATGGCTTCTACATACTCTTTTGCGAACCTTATAAAAGGTCTTCAACCTGGCTAACTGCAGTCCAACCTTGTGTGTTTTCTTTTTTTATTTTCTGGGATCTGAGATCTGCTCACTGAGCTCTTCTCTTCTCGGACTTAATTGTCGAGATCTTGTCTGCTAGAATCTTGGATCTACTCACTCAGGTTGAGCTCTTCTCTTCTCGGACCTACTCATCTAGGCCGAGATCATGTCTTCTAGGATCTGGGATCCAGGATCTGGAATCCGGGATCTGCTCACTTAGGATGAGTTCTTCTATACTTGAATGTTATCTCCTTGGGAGCGCTCATGCCCCCTGTCTTTGCGTCTCTTCTGAAAGGGTCTTCGTTCCTCCGCAGGTATCTATCCTTCCATACCTGGAGGTCATTTTCGTTGTAGTATCCGCTTTGATCTATTGTCTTTGGTGTGTCACCTTTCTGGCCGGCGTCTTTCACTCCGTGACTCTGGTCATGAGTTTCTGTGTTGCGGTCATCCTCTTCAACGTCGAGGTTGATAGGTCTCCCACTCCCAGCAGGAGTGTTGTCTCCAATCTGATCCTTTTGTCCGTTATTGGCCATCTATTCTTTTTTTTTTCATTGGCCATCTATTCTTCTTTCTTTCATTGGCCATCTATTCTTCTTCGATTCCCACAGATGGCGCCAAATTGTGTGGGTGATTTTTTGACCACATTGCCCGCTTAGTAACCAGCTGGAGAGCACCGACAAAATAGATGGCACCTGGCTGACCTGCAACAGAAAGAGAAGATTTCGGCGGTGGTTCGTCTACCCGGTGAGATCTTTTTTTTTGTCAAAGTGTGATCTTTAACCATTTTTGTAGTAGTGAACTCACAAGCTTGAGTATCAAAAGCATACCTTAAACCCATGGGGGTGCCTCTCTTTTATAGCCAACATAAACCTAGTCCCAATAGAAGCCTCACTTCTATGGACTCATGATTACTGCTAATCTTGGACTCCTAGTAAGATTAGGATAAACTCTCTAAGAGTCTTATCTTAATACAAACTGAAGTCTTCTCTTATTCTAGGACTCTTGCCCCTCATCCACTTATCTCAGATTCTGATATCTTCGGAGGTAACCTCGGCCTATCCGAGATGACCTTGGCATAACAACCAGGACACGTGGCACATCGGCTGACACGTCGGCGTCACCTTGGCCATGTGTTGGTACTCAGAAAATATATCCCCACATAAACTAAGAGGAATTGGTGTGTGAAACTAGAATTATCCAAAATTGTGTAGGTGCTTACCTTGAAGTTACCACAGATATGTTCGACGAGAGGGGAGAGAGAGAAGGGAATTGAAGCTAGCATTGATCTAAATGAGATTGTTGTTTATATCAAGAAATGTTGCAAAGAGGTTCAACCCCAACGAATGATGGGAAAAAGGTGGAGGATGTTGGACAATCTTCACTGTATTTAAAAAAAATAAAATAAATTCTGTTTGTGTACTTAACAACAAACAGAATATAGAAGAAAAAAGAAATGAGAGAGTTTATTTAATTACAAAAATCAAATCAGAAAATAAAATAAAATAAATAAAATAGATTTTTATTTTGTTACAAAAACAAAATCAAAATCTGAAACAGAAAAAATAATAAAATAGAAAAGCAAATTAATTATTTACCAAATTAATTTGTTGAACAAATTTTTCTGATCAAGTCCAGTGTTTAACACTGTGTCTTTAAGACAGATTCCAAAAAATGTTGCAAAGAGGTTCAACCCCAACGAATGATGGGAAAAAGGTGGAGGATGTTGGACAATTTTCACTGTATTTAAAAAAAATAAAATAAATTCTGTTTGTGTACTTAACAACAAACAGAATATAGAAGAAAAAAGAAATGAGAGAGTTTATTTAATTACAAAAATCAAATCAGAAAATAAAATAAAATAAATAAAATAGATTTTTATTTTGTTACAAAAACAAAATCAAAATCTGAAACAGAAAAAATAATAAAATAGAAAAGCAAATTAATTATTTACCAAATTAATTTGTTGAACAAATTTTTCTGATCAAGTCCAGTGTTTAACACTGTGTCTTTAAGACAGATTCGTCATCTCCACGGTTCTTTCAGATTGTGAACGTCTATCTCCTAGGATAAAATGATCAACAGCAAACAATAGCAGCACTACAAATTATTTTCACAACGAACACACTTTGTGTTTGTACTCTTTCTCATAGAAAATTATCTGCAGCAAAATGCAGAGAATAATTACAGAGGAAAGAACGAATTTTCTAAATGAATGAAAAATCAATAGAGGGTCTGTCTATTTATAGGAGAAAATGTGGTTGTTTGGTTTGAATTAAACAGGTGCAAACCTGTTCAGTTTGAATGAACAAATATGATACTGTTTGGGTTTGAATTTGAATAGATACTGAAACTGTTCCGATTTAAATTCAAACAGATAAAAACCGGGCAGAAATTTTAGGAATTAATTTTCGAAATTCAAATTCCAAAAATTAGAATTTAATTTTAGAAAAATAAAATTCAAAAGTTTTTGGCCCAAAAAATAATTAGTATTAGGCCAGATAAGCACAACCCAACTGGATGGCGGTGTGTGTGTTTATTTTTGGGTCCAATTGGTTTAGCCCATAACCTCCCTCTCTACAAAACTTGGGTGCCCCTTGGGCCTACCCCAATTTCCAAACTCAAGCCATATAAACCCACTCAAAGTTTACCCACCAAATTAATGTGAGACAACCCTTAAACCAAACCTTTAGGAAATTTCACCAAAAACTCCATTTCCATGGAGTTCACTTTGGTTTTAATTTCACATTCACCCGTTAATGGTTTTGAGCAACCAAATATATCACGTGAATCACAACGTGACATAGAACGTGTTACTACTTAGACCCGTCAAATTTGACACATAGGTCCTACCTAAAAAATATACTAAAATTATGAAAAAATTAGATTTTTTCAAAACTTTCAAAACCATTTCTAATAGAGGATTCTAACAACGGTTGTGAGTGAGGGGCGGGGAAGCCACGGTGTTGGCTACCAAGATCAAGATCTAGTCAAGCACCAAGAGGTCTTTCTTAACCTCGTCTTATTGAGAATAGTTTTGGTTATAAAGGATGGTGTAGCATTATTCGGTAATTTTGTTTTGTTTCATCGCTTATAATTTCTATAAATTTTCTAACTAATCTATTTATTAGCCTTTTTGTGATTTAAGTAGATTTAAAAATCCCAGTTGTTTAACAAATTTCTAAACTACTTAGTTGGACTAATTAATGGGCTACACACTATCTCGTTTGGTGGTAGTGGAATAATAATAATTTCAACCACTACTTAGACACCCAAAGCAGAACAATCAAGAATAAATGAAGACTAGAATAAGTAATCATCTAACATCAAGGGAAAAATATGATGGGAAAATACTCTCCGTTCCAAAATAATGATCTTTTTTCAAGAATTTAATTTTTTTTGATAGCATAATTATTATGTTTTAAAAATATTGATTTTTTAAAATTACCTTTTGATAGTACATTTTCTAAAAAATATCAATTAGTAATTATGTTTTTTTTTGTGTTATTAATGAATTTAAAAGAAGAGCAAAATAGTAAATTTATATTATTTTATTCCTTGATTTTTAAAAAGGTACTAATATTTTGAGACAATAAAAAATGAAATAAGGAATTAATATTTTGAGATGGATGGAGTAATACATCTTGAAAAAAGTGTATATCATATGTCGTAGTTATGATTTATTGTGATATTAGTTATAATTTAATTATGATTTTTTGTGGTTGGTAATTTGGTTATGATCGAAAAGATATTTGGTTATACCTCAAGTAGTGTTTAATTATGACCATTGGATATGACACATTTGTAGTATTGGTTATGACTTAATTTTGATTTACTAGTAGTAATTTTAGTTACGACCATAACAAATTTTAGTTACGACTCAAAAGTGTTTGGTTATGATCTATTAAGTTATAAAAAGATTGATTTGTTTATGACAACATAATTTGCTAATGATATACCATTTTTGAGATGTGTGTATTATAACATTATCCATGTATAATGGTATTTTGGAAAGTTAATAAAAAGTTGATTTTTTTAAACTTTTTGATGACTTTTTTGACTAAAAAAATTGACTTTTGTGATTTTTTTAATAAGTTCTCAAATTGCCCCATAATACTTGTAAAATATAATTTAAAAGCTGTTTTCAACCATATTAACAATCTCCAAAGCTATCAACTAGTTTTCTATTTATTCAACTTTATTAGATTGGTCCTTTGTCTATTGTTGGTGTAACCATACGTAAGCTTTTAGTTGAGGTTGTTAATTGCACCATATGGTGCATTTGTGATAGACCAGAGGCATGCAAGCAACAAATGCATCAACGTCAATTTGACTGACAATCCAAAGCTTTGTATGATTAAAATAATTGAACATTATTTAAGAGGAGTGGATTCTCTCCCCTTAGTAATTTCAATTCGAATGTGATGTTTGGCCTTTGTGAACTCATTAAGAGATCTATTTTGATAATGTGAACCGTTTAATTTGTATATATAATTGTAAGAATAGATTATTTATATAAAAAATTAGATTGATTGAACACTCATAATCACATGATCAAGTCACATTTTTTTTTTTAAAAAAAAGGAGGAGTATAATTTTAAAAATAGATAGTCTTTGTTTAAAATATATATATATATATAATCAGTTTACGTGATTATAATTGTTCAATCAATATAATTTTTTATATAAATAATTTACTTAAAAAACATTGCAAGATGAAAATTTTAAATTATTAAAGCTGACCCCACTATTGGGCCACCACAAACCAACAACAAACTCCATTTGAAAGAAGACAATATAACAAAGTAAAATTTGGTAGAGGAGGGTGGACAACCCAAAGATCAGTTATGGCCTCTCTTTCTCTCTACCTTGGATGGTTCCTTAAATAACATAATACTAATGATTTTTGTGATTCAGAGAGAGAAGGAAAGTGTTCCATATGGTACAAAGAACTGTGTTGAAGGTTGATATTTCATGCCAAAAATGCAAGAAGAAACTCCTCAGAGCTGTCTCTGGACTACAAGGTAAGAAGATTGACACAATCTCTCTCTCTCTCTCTATAAGTTGTGTTTGGGTTATTTATTTAGATAAGAATTTAAAAAGAAAAAGTAAAATGTGAATGAAATATAAATTAATTATTTGAAAAAATTATAATTCAGTGCTATTTTCACAAAATAATTACAAATTTTAGAAAAATTTAAGACTTTAATTATTAATGTTTATGAAGTTTATCACTGATCTGAAATTATTCTCTATGTTTCTTTAAACAAAAACAAAATAATACTAAAATTGCCTTTATAAACCCGAAATTCGCATGAAGACATTGGCCCTCTTAAAAAGTTTTTGTTTTAAAAATAAAAAATTGAATGCTAGTTCTGTTTAAAATGTAGTACCAAACGAGGCCTAAGTAACTTGGAAATTGCTCCTAAAACAACTTTGGGAGACCATTTTTCTTATTATATGGTCATGTTCCATTTTCATCTTTTTTTGTGCCTTTTTTTTTTTTTTCAAAATTTAAAAAACAGAATTGTGTTGCAGGAGTAGATAAAATTGAAGCCGATGAAGCCAAGGGGACCTTGACTGTAACAGGAGATGCAGACCCATATGAGATCATTTTACGGACTCGTAAAACTGGCAAATTCTCCGAAGTTGTCACTATTGGGCCTCCACCACCTCCCCCAAAGGATGGCCCAAAGAAGCCCGATGACAAGAAACCCGCTGAAAAGAAGCCTGATCAAAAGGCTCAAGCCCAATTCCAAGTCCAGGCCCAAGCCCACATTCACACTCCCCATTCCTGCCCGGTTTGCGATCGCATGGCTTTCGTTCAAGTAGCCCGTTGGGATGAGCCCAACCCATCATGCTCCATCATGTAGCAAGAAGCAACCACCATCAAAATTTTGGTCTCCAAATTGTACTTTGAAAAAAAAAAAAAATAACAACAACAACAACAACAACAAACTAACAAACAAATATTTGGATAAGATTTTATGAATTTTTATATTTTTTCTTTTAGTATGAATAATTCAAAATTATTAAGTTTCTTGATTTTGTTTTTTTTTTAATATGTAAGTTACTTATTTTTCAAAAATTGATTGTTTTGTGTCTAAGACTTATTATATATATATACCAATGTAAGCCTAAGGGTTAACAATCTTTTATCAATAAAAATAGTATTTCGAGTTTTTTTTTTCTTATGAATTTGAAGTTCTATCTTTTTTGTGCATTTGAGAACATTTTCTTCTACTATAACAATATCTAGTTTCATTTCATGTATTGTGATACTATGTGTCATCGGGAATTTATTTTTCCAAGCCCACATTCACACTCCCCATTCCTGCCCGGTATGCGATCGCATGGCTTTCGTTCAAGTAGCCCGTTGGGATGAGCCCAACCCATCATGCTCCATCATGTAGCAAGAAGCAACCACCATCAAAATTTTGGTCTCCAAATTGTACTTTGAAAAAAAAAAAAAAAAAAAAACAACAACAACAACAACAAACAAACAAACTAACAAACAAATATTTGGATAAGATTTTATGAATTTTTATATTTTTTTCTTTTAGTATGAATATTTCAAAATTATTAAGTTTCTTGATTTTGTTTTTTTTTAATATGTAAGTTACTTATTTTTCAAAAATTGATTGTTTTGTGTCTAAGACTTATTATATATATACCAATGTAAGCCTAAGGGTTAACAATCTTTTATCAATAAAAATAGTATTTCGAGTTTTTTTTTTTTCTTATGAATTTGAAGTTCTATCTTTTTTGTGCATTTGAGAACATTTTCTTCTACTACAACAATATCTAGTTTCATTTCATGTATTGTGATACTATGTGTCATCGGGAATTTATTTTTATTTTTTATTTTATGATTGGTAAAAGGTAAATGAGAGAAAGACTTTTTTTTTTAAATAAAAATGAATGGAAGGGGGGAAATAAGAGAATGCAAAATTACATTGTACAATAATGAAACTTAAATTCAAACCTCATATGAGATAAGAGGGTATTTTATCCACCAAATTATTACAAAATTTATGTAAAGATTATTGTGAACTGTGTTAAAAAACAAAAGAAAAAAAAGAAGAGATTATTGTGAACTTGTCAACACTTTTAGAAACAGAGCTTCTTGTAATTTGTTATTGTTAGCCATACACGTGGAGATCAAAAAATTCTTTTATAATCAGATGGTGAAAATCTCAGTCACATTCACATTGATATTGGTAAATCAAACAGGTGTAGCTATAGCTTATCAAATTGGCAATTCCATGTTGGTACCATCTTTGGTGGCCTTTACCGGTCACCACCACCACCACCACCACATCCTCATTCCCATCCACCATTGCAAACTCTAACCTCGCTCCTCCTCCACTCTCCACCCCTCGCTTCTACTACTACCACAATTATAGCCCCTACCATCGCTATCACACTATCTCCATCCTTGCATCGTGAATACAACATTGCACAACCAAAAGAGAGTTTGCATGCGAAAAAGGAGCAATGGGAGAGCGGTGACATGAGGGGAGGAAAGCTAACGAAGGGAAGGGCGATAGAGTGAGCATGTATTGGAACAGGAAAGGAAAGCAACATGAAGGAGGTTGGCAGCTGTCGATAATGGTGGTGGAAGTTACGGTTAGGGTTAAGTTGGAGAAGATGAAAATGAATATATCTTGCTATTATTTAAAAAAAAAAAAATGATGATACAAAATGAGAAAAAATTAGAAAAGTTAAATGGTGTAAACAAACAATAATACTACAAATTTATACTTTACTATTTAGAAATTATTACGATTTATCATATGTGATTTAAATTTATTCTACACATGAACCCCATACTAAGCAAATTTAATCTCTACTACATAACTACTCACCCAAAATTTTCTAGATAGACAATGAGTCTGTAGACTTTTTATTCTTAAACAAATGGTGTGTATTGAGAGCATTTCCAACTCTTACTCAAAATTTTCATTAAATTTGATGAGAAACTTGATCTGATATTGTTTAATATAGTAACTACATATTTTGTCTATCATACATGTCATATTATATTCATTTCCATACTTAGATTTCTCTCCTCCTATATAACGGAGTCTTGTATACACTGTTACATAATTATTCAATATAATATTTTCTCTTAGTGTTCTTTGCCTTACCGGCAGGCAACAACCTTGGCTTGGCCGCCCATTGGACCTCAACTCATTCTGTTGAGTATCACTTCATGGTGATCTTTTCTTCTGTTTGCTGGTTTATTTCTACCCCAAATATTTCTATCATATTTTTTTTTACTTGCAATCATTTTTTTTTTTTTTTTTGCGCTTCTGCTCCACTCTATCTTTCCATTTGCTTCAACTTTAAATAAGTTTCTATCTTCAAACTTGTTTGAGTTTGAGAGTATTATACTTATATCGGGGTGAATATGGTTATACACTATGCCAAGCCGCTCCATGTGGCATACCACCCAAGTCGCCCTTTGGCGCACCACTCAAGTCGCCTCTTCTGGCGCACAATCTAAGCTGCCTTTTCTGGCATACAACCCAAGTCGCCCCTGCCGCACTTTTTCATAAGTCGCCCCTGGCATACAATGTCATTGGTTGCCATCACCGTTTAATATCACGTTATAAGTTACGCATGTGCCATGTTTGTTGGTTTAACATTCAATTCTTCTACAACGGTTCGGCACGACCTTAAACTGTCCTGGCATTAGCTTTGACCAGTTTCTACAACAGTTTGGTATGACTTTAAATTGTCCCAGCATTAGGGTTGGTTTGGCATGCTTGAAAAAAGTCAAAAAGTCACTATCCTATTTAAATCACATCATCTTATTTAAGTCATATCACCTCTCTAATACATCATTTCAAACCTAACCCAAACCCAACCCATATTTTATAAAAAGTCAAAAAGTGCACTTATTTAGATCATCCCAAATAACCCCTTAGTTCTAGCCAAATCCTACAACGGTCCGACATGACCATAAATTGTCTTTCAACATTAACTCTGGTCTCTGATCTATCTCAAGTGCCCTTGCGCTCCTATTTAGACTTTGCAATCTATTTGCCTTTTATTTTACTTTTAATTTTATTACATGTTTCAGTTTTTCTCTCCAAACTCAAGTTGGTATCCTTACTTGAGTTTAAAAGGAGTGTTAAATATAGTAACTATATATTCTGTCTATCATACATACCATATTATATTTAGAAAAATGTTTGGTGGTCCGAATTTGTGTGGCTCAAATGTATCAAAACGACGTCTTAGATTCCTCTCCTTCTATATAAAGGAGTCTTGTATATATTGTTACAACATTTAATATAATATAATTTTTTTTTCTTTCTCTTTCTCTCTTAGATATTATAACAGATATGGCAGACTCCAACGAGTTTCATCAATTCGGCCGATCATTTGGTAAGAGTAAATTTTCACCTTAAATCATCCTAAACTTGGTTGTCCGGTAAATATCTGAGAAGATGATTGAGCAGATATTTGGTTCAATGGTCACTTATAAATTTGATAAAAGAATAAAGTACTTTCTTGATTTGATAAAAAAAAAAACAAAAAATAAAAAATAAAGAAGTAACTCTCTCTTCATTTGATATAAATTTGATACTATGTTTGAATAAAAAAAATATAAACGTGATTCATCATATTTAAATTTGATAGAAAATCCGAGTGTGGTTAGGGACTTGAGAGAAGGAATAGTAACGTGGAAATATTAGAATCAAACCCCATTTTCTCATAAAACATCTGTTATGCCCCTCCACCTGCAACAACAGCAACGAGTCAACAGCAACAACAATAACAGGACAACCCCATTCTATCAACCTCTGGAGTTTCGAAGTCTCAAATCCTATTATCAACAAACTATGCAACCAACCAACCGCCACTGATCACTGAACCGAATCAACCCAGAAACAAAAGAAGAAAAGAAAAAGAAAATGGCAAATCAAGACAACAACAATAACACTCTCCAAGTTTTCTGCATTGGAACAGCTGATACAAAGCTCGAGGAGCTCCGATTCCTCTCCGACTCCGTTCGATCCAATCTCAACAGCTTTTCCTCTCACTCCTCCTCTAAGGCACTGCATTCTTTATCCATCTTATTCCTCTCTTTCCTTACACACACACACACACACAAACATATTTATGTACGCATGTGTGTATCTACTATGAACTGAATCGAATATGAACTGTTGGTTTCTTCTGGGTATTTGGTAGAGTTGCAATTGTTGTAGATTTGACCAGCCAATGAGTAGAAAGTTTTATCTTCTCAGTCTCTGCAATATTTGTTGGGATGCAATTGGGCACAATTCAACCCAAGGGTTAGCGAATAGGTCACGAGTTCGAATCCATGAAAGCACTTGATGTTGGGATTATCGCACATCCCACGAAAATGAACAGAAGCACACCTACACACACCGAAAGAAAATAATAATAAACGAATACAATCAAGAGACTAAAAATACCAAAAGACCCGACACCAATATCTGAGTCTCCCTGTTATTTTTCGTCTCCCCTACATCTCTACAAACCCTCGCAATCTCACACCTTGAATTCCCACAAATCCCTGTTTATAACCGAACCCAATAAATCCTAATTGTATACAATTATTAAAACAGTACACATTATGGACTACTTGTGAATTCTGAACTCTACAACCTAATTCAAATTTTATTTAAAACTAATAGTTGTTTGGATCCCACAGAGTACAAGACAAATACACAACACTTGACCCCCTTGGGGCCATCCCAGGGCTTGTGTGGCATGGGCATTGCATGTATGTACGCTTGTTTAGTCAGGACAAAGTCTCATATACCCTTGTTATCCAAAAAATAAAAATGTTGGGCATAATCTCAGTTTAATCTATGCAAGTTTGAGAGAGACATATTCTTAATCTTTCCTATTTTAGTTGTAACTAGTATGGGATAAGTCTTTTGGATTTTATAAATTCACATCACACATAAAACTAGAACCTTGAGTTTACAGTGCTTCCTATTCGAATAAAAAGAAAGTTTCTCTTCTTCCTTCTGCAGTTATTTGCAGTTATATTTGTCACTTTGCTTATCAAGTGATAATATAAAATTGAGCTTTTGGGACCGTTATGATGCTTTAGTGCATCAAAGTTCATAACGTGCCAGGACAGAATGCTTCATGATTGGACATTGCTGTTTGTTTGGTGTAATTATGTTTGGGTTCTAATTTCTGATTTATTAGGAAAATGGACTTCTATGTTTATAACAAAGGAAATGTACAGGTACAGGTGACGGTTGTTGATGTTTCCACTAGTCAGAAGGAGACAGAGAGTTGTGGGGATTTCAAATTTGTGTCAAGGAAGGATGTTCTGTCATGCTATTTTGGATCAGACGAGCGATCCCACACCTTGCTTCCAGATGATAGGGGCAAAGCTATTGCTATAATGAGTAAAGCAGTCGAAAATTTCCTACAAAAAGCCCACAAGGATTGTGCTCTTGCCGGAGCTATTGGACTTGGGGGTAGTGGAGGCACGTCTCTGCTATCATCAGCTTTAAGATCTCTTCCAATTGGAATCCCTAAGGTCATTGTATCAACTGTAGCTAGTGGTCAGACTGAACCTTATGTTGGAACATCGGATCTGATATTGTTTCCATCGGTTGTGGATGTTTGTGGTATTAACAATGTAAGTAGGGTCATTCTGTCAAATGCCGGAGCTGCTTTTGCTGGAATGGTGATAGGAAGGCTTCAACTTCAAGCTTCACCTTCTGCTAAGAGTGATAAGTTCACAGTCGGTATAACCATGTTTGGGGTTACCACTCCTTGTGTAAATGCTGTCAAAGAAAAATTGCTCAAAGAAGGCTATGAAACATTAATTTTCCATGCCACTGGGGTTGGGGGCAGGGCTATGGAGCATCTAGTTAGAGCAGGCTTCATACAGGTACATATGCCCATTGAAATATTATTTGCATTTCAAAATCTCAGGCTCAATTAAAAATACTAGTTTTGTTGGAAGTGGTTGACTTCTACTCCTTTGGGTTTTTGACCTAAAACATTAACTTGAGGAAAAGTCATTTTGTTGCTTACAATAATAAGGGGTTGTTTGGGATGACCTAAATAAGTGCACTTTTTGTCTTTTTACGAAAAGATGTGCAGAAAAGTAGAGAGGTGATGTGATGGAAAAAAGATAAAAAGATAAAAAGATGGATTATTCTTGGGTTGCCAAACTTGGCCTAACTTTATGTTTACAAGTTGGAATGATTGAACGAAAGTGTATGGATCAAACTTAGGCGGTTTTTACTTATCAAAAACAAAGGTGTTCAAGTGAAATTGAAAGTTGACAAGCAGATTAAAGTAGATCCAGCTACTTGATTGCTAGAACATCAATTGCTTATCCATTCTCATTACCTCAGTGTTGGATCAGAGGTGACCAAGCGTACTTGGAAACTAGTCTTAGAACAAATTCAAACAAACTCTGCTGAAAGTAGACACGTTAAAAACTGGATGATCTTTAGGTTGATGAGTTGTTTCTTGCATTACTTATCTATTAATGTAAAGCTAATCATCGATTTGCTTGTTCATGTTTGTTGCCATGTTTTCTTCTAAAGAGTTCCAATTGGTAAGAAGTCATCTATGTACTTAAATTATAGCATTAATTTTCATATTTTTCTATATTTTTAATTGGTTGTAATTTTACAAGGTTTTGGAAGAACGAAATCAGGATAGCCAGCTCATCCCCAGTCTTCTGGATGGAGTTAAACCTTTATTATTCATATTTCATAGTTGCCTTTTTTTCTTTATTTTTATTCAGGGTGTTATGGACATCACAACAACAGAGGTTGCAGATCATATTGTTGGAGGTGTCCTTGCTTGTGACAGTTCACGCTTTGATGCCATTATAGAGAAGAAGATTCCCCTAGTTCTAAGTGTGGGAGCCTTGGATATGGTGAATTTTGGCTCCATGGATACCATACCTTCTAATTTTCAGCAAAGAAAGCTTTACAAACACAATGAGCAGGTAACTCTACCTGCCCTCTCTCTCTCTCTCTCTCTCCCCCAATTATGGCACGATTGACGCTGAATTGCATATGAGCATATTCATTTGAAGTTTTAGCATGGTATTATCTTTGTATTACATTACTTTTTTGTTATTGGAATGCATACATTGCCATCTTTAAGCAAAATTTGGTTTTTATCTATTACATTAATATCTTGGTGGTTGACCATAGTCCCTTTAATCTATCATTGAAACAAAAAGAGAACTAGATTCTCTCTACAGCCGTAGTCAAATAATTCCAGTGAGATAATATTTTGGAGTGTCCCTGTTACATAAATTTATGCCATGTGCAGGTTTCGTTAATGCGAACTACAGCAGATGAAAACAAGAAATTTGCTGCTTTTATAGCAAACAAACTGAACAAGTCATCATCAAAGATACGTGTTTGCCTCCCAGGAAAAGGAATATCTGCTTTGGATGCACCTGGGAAGCCCTTTTACGATCCTAAGGCTACTGGTGCTCTTATAGATGAACTACAAAGGCTTATTCAGACAAATGAAGACCGGCAGGTACCATCATTACTTGGCGTGTGTTAGAGTTTCTAACCTTCTCTATTTGCTTGGGTTTTCGATGTTCATGGTTTTTCATCTATTTGCCATTTCAATTTATTTCTGAAAATAGGAGTTTTGTGTATTAACAGATTAAGGTGTCTCCTTATCATATTAATGACCCTGAGTTTGTTGACGAAGTGGTTGGTTCATTCTTAGAGATTTGCAAGAATCTTAAATATACCAGTGATCAGCAAGATTTTGTTGATCCTAATCATAACCTTCAAGAGGGGTCTGCTTCCAAGACAAATACATCAGGCTATGGCACAATTTCTTACAGCTTGAGTGACTTCCCTGATGCAAAACCAGGTTCTAATGTGTGTTAATTTTTATTTTTATTATAAGTAACTTCTTTAATTAAAATATCATCTCTGGAAGTTTCAGTTACAGACATATATCGCACTGCACTTGTTCTGGCTTTAGTACCATACACACAATACAGTTATTTTTATGGCTTTTATCACAAGTTCACAACAGATGTGTGTAACTATATATATCTAAATTCATGTAAATTGATTGAAGTTCTAGTTAATTGTAATGACATAGATATAAAAATACTAATAACGATGTTAATTGTAATATAACGGTAAAAGTAGTATCACTAGACGAAATAAATAATGGCTCACTGTAAAGTGGGCATTAATTCGACTAAAAGTTAGCATAGATAATAATTAAACAAAAACCTTTTCCGGACTAGTTACTCTGGTCATTCAGTGACTTGCATCCTGACAGGATTATACTTGTTCCCACTGTTTTTTGATGATAAATACATATCCTTGTTGCTTAGATAGTTGAATTGTGCTGATACTGAAGGACCGTGGAAATTTACTACAGCAGCCTTAAAGCTGTCGTTCAACGGGTGAAGAATCAAAAGGTGTCACCTGAACAAACCTGGGGCCACAAATATGCTTCCAAGAACCTGTAAAAATTGTCTTGGACTATGTCTATGATATATATTGTGACTGTGACACCTGTTTGGTTAGCTGGTGAAGTCCATTTGAGGCTGTACAGTTTATAGAGTTGCCTACAAATCTGATTTCAACCACGAATGCGATCACTTGTGTTCCTGTTGAAATTAGAATACGCAGGGAAGGTACACTTGTGAATAAAAGCTAGAAGATACACTTGTGCTGTAGATGATGATTTTTGTATATATATGAAAAAAAGAATAAAAAACCAAATAAAACAAAAACAAAGTGCTTGGTGCATCTGGGTATACTAGTTGAAGTATGGACTGACAATGAGAAAATGTTCTAGTAAAATTACACGGCTGAAACTATCTCTTCGAGTAAGCACTGGTTGAAGTGTGTGGGCTTGGTTTGTGGTTCCAACTGTTCATCTTTGGGCTTAGACTTTGACATAATAAATTGATCTAGGAATTTCTAAAGTTACGTTGTGTATGCACGTATGCTTGTATTTTGAGAAGTCACACGTTCTATTTTATTTGGAAAACAACCTAGTTTGTCAATTTTTGCTTGACAGAAACGTTGCAAAGAACAAAGGTGATACTGCAGCAACTGAAAGATCAAATGAGGGCGGGTAAGCCCATTATAGGGGCTGGTGCAGGGACAGGCATATCTGCAAAGTTTGAGGAAGCTGGTGGTTTATACATTAAATTTCTACAATGCATGTATGCTTGTATTTTGAGAAGTCACATGTTGTATTTTGTTTGGAAAACAACCTAGTTTGTCAATTTTTGCTTGACAGAAACGTTGCAAAGAACAAAGGTGATACTGCAGCAACTGAAAGATCAAATGAGGGCGGGTAAGCCCATTATAGGGGCTGGTGCAGGGACAGGCATATCTGCAAAGTTTGAGGAAGCTGGTGGTGTGGATCTGATAGTCTTGTACAACTCGGGACGCTTCCGAATGGCAGGAAGGGGTTCCTTAGCAGGTTTATTACCTTTCGCTGATGCAAATGCAATTGTGGTTGATATGGCCAATGAAGTCTTGCCTGTAAGTTGTGATTGCTTGCTTGTTCTAAATTCATGTAAACTCCAACAGCTATGAAATCAGTGGAATTATTCTGACTTCCCTAAACTTTAATGAACTCTCATGAATCAATTTTCTTTTAATTGATATTGAACTAATACATACAAACCATGGCTGGTGAAGCCGCTGAAAAGCCAACAGTTGGGCTGTCTTGATTAGAGAAAAAGAGTGAAGATCAGAAAAAACTATCAGTATTTAATTCAAACTTTATCTCTCACTTAAGACTGTGTTTGACTCAATAGATTCAAATGGAAGACACAAGGTAGTAGTTGTATGCTGAATTCAGGGATCTCAACATTATTAAATGTCTTTACAATGACCATTTAAATTTTTTGCAGGGTTCATGTTAAAGGATCCTACACGTCAAATCAAAAGTTTCTAAATAAAACAAGTATTAATTACTACACCATTTGAAATTCTAAGCAATTGTCAAATATGCCGAAAATGCTGAAGATGATTAGGAAATTAAGGACGGGCAGTTGGCCCAATGGTCCATGTAGCTGTCCCTGTGAGAAGGTTAGAGGTTCAAGGTTCGAGTCAATGGAGTGGCCGCAGCCCTTTGTTGTAATCTAACTTACTAACCCCTAACATCCTATTGTATTAGGAAATTAAATTGATGACTAAAATTAAATTCCCTATTTTATTCTGCAAGAAAAGTACAAACAAAAGGAAGAAGATGAAACTCTTTCCACTGTTCACACTTCAATCTTGTACTTGAATTTACTTGTTCTTATTTTTTACAATTTTGATTTTGTAGTCATTATATGAAACCATAATATGGATCAGTTTAGATTTTGAGATGTTTCTTGCTCAAATTCTGCATAGTTCCTGGAAGTTTTCAACTGATGCATACAACTGTTCAAAATGAATAGGTGGTGAAAAAAGTACCAGTACTTGCCGGTGTATGTGCTACTGATCCTTTTCGCCGAATGGATCACTTTTTAAAGCAGTTGGAGTCAATAGGATTTTATGGGGTGCAAAACTTTCCAACTGTTGGGCTCTTTGATGGTAACTTTAGACAAAATCTGGAAGAGACAGGAATGGGATATGGGTAGGCCTCAAAGTCACTTATATTTTATTAAGCTACATGTGCTTTCTCTAAATCAGCAAAAAGAGTCTCTTAAGTGCTCTTTCTTGTTTCCATGCTCAGCTTGGAGGTCACAATGATTGGGAAAGCTCATAAAATGGGCCTATTAACAACCCCTTATGCTTTCAACCCAGATGAAGCCGTTGAAATGGCAAAAGCTGGTGCTGATATCATTGTAGCCCACATGGGCCTCACGACATCTGGAACAATTGGTGCACAAACAGCTGTCTCAATTGAGGAAAGTGTGGTTCGTGTACAAGCTATTGCAGATGCTGCACGTAGGATCAATCGTGATGCTATTGTGCTCTGCCATGGAGGTAAGCATCCAGGAAACCTTTTCGTTATTTGATGAATTTTTTATGGACCAATCCTGAATTTCGAGATATACTGGCATGAATTGTTTAAAAATGTTAAGGTGTCGTTTGGTAACACTTTTCAGTTTTCTGTTTATATTTACAAAAATTTAAAAAACTCATCGTCCGCCGCCACTTGCCACCACTTGTCATTTCTCACTTTTTTTTATATTAAGATTTTTTTTAAAATATTTTGTCAATTACCAAACGCGTTTGTAGTTTATGTTTTTCTAAAAATAAACAAAAAATAAACAAAAATAAGTTTATAAAATTTTTGTAAATATAAACTGAAAACGTAAACGTTACCAAACACACCCTAAGGGTCTTTTAATATAACCAGAGGCCAGTGCTGTGGATAATCCTATGCCTGATCCTATGCAAATATGTTGATATGGAGGATATTTTTCTTTGTGAATTATTCTGACTGAGCTATTCAGATGATGATTTTTGCAAAAGATCTAATATAGTGTTTGGTTCACTAGAAAGAGGCTGGGATGGATTGGTCATTTTGTCGGCATACACATTCTCATGTTTGGTTAGGTAAAAAGGAAAAGAATTTACATCGGACATGGAATCACCATTCACCAATTTAGGAGAATGGCCGTTCCATTGGGACACCAAGGAAATGGTCACTCAATTCCTGCCTAAATTCATTCTAGCAAACCAAACATTACCTAAATATCCAATTGAGAATAAAATTCCAAATAGAGAGCCAAAAGAATCTTGTGCCAAATTTGTATAGAAGTTTGAAACTGGATTTCTTTCCTTCGACTATTGTTTTGATAGTTGACAATATCACTTTGACATGTTGGTATTACTTGGTCCTGTAATGTAAGCTATTAAAGCTAAAATGTGATTGGTCTATCAATTTTTTTGTCCTTTTTTCTACAATAGCCTTAATGTAAAACAACTAATCTTCTGTAATTTTCAGGTCCAATATCCGGTCCAAAAGAGGCGGAATTTGTGCTGAAGAGAACGAACGGAGTTCAGGGGTTCTACGGTGCATCAAGCATGGAGAGGCTACCGGTTGAACAAGCTATAACAGCTACTGTCCAACAGTACAAATCAATTCCTCTGAAGTAAAGAATTACAACGTTTCTGGTGTATAAACAAAACTGTGTTATAGGTATGTTTGTCTTCACTTCCAATTTCGTATTTTCAAAATTTTTGAAGAAAACAAGAATTTATGACGGAAAATTTGAGAACTCGTTATTGCAATATGCAATATTTGTGTTGAAGGTGTAATTGAAGATTTCTCTCCAAAAGATGTGTATTTCTTCCATCATATTTACGCTAATTGTGTATTGCATACTGCCATGTGGGGAACATTACACCTGTTTGGTATTGTTTTCGTTTTTTTGTGTTTTTTGAAACAAAAATATTGAAAAGTTCTGAAACATTTGTTTTCATTTTTTAGTGAAAACTGTTTTCTAAAATTCATAAAACTATTTGAAAGTGTTTTCTAAAGGAGGTGTTTAGGAAACGGTTTGCCTAATGAGTTTTCCCTTCTTTGTATCAGTTTTTTCTGTTTTTGAGAACAGAGAACAGAAAAATAATAATCAAATACCAAATGTGTGTATTTTATTTTCTCTCTAATATAGCACATGGGGCTTTGGGTGTGATTTTAGAGATACAAATATTTTATAGTTTTCATTTTTTGTATTTTTTCTTTTACACTTTATTTCAATTGGGAATCAATTGAAAATTAACATGGTGATGCAAAACTATGATGAAAAATCAGTGACTTAAAATTTTCTTAATATTAAAATTGTTACACCTCAATACTAATTAATGTTTTTAGGGCTCCCTTCCCCTATGTCTTATCTTCTATTATAAATGTTTCTCCCTCCCTAATTTTGTTGACATGTCATAAAAAATATATTTTTTCTTATTTTAATTAAGTAGCTTTAGAATACAAAATTTGTTTAAAATTATAGGTAGTAGACATAAAATAGAGTTAAAATTTGTATAATAAGATAACATAATTGCTTATTTTTTAAGTACACAAAATTTAAATTTTAAAAAATTATAAGTAGCACTTTAATCTTTTCTAATTTTTAACATACCACCTCAATTTTATTTTATTTTTTTATAGTTTTTTTTTACAAATTTTAAAATTATAAAAAATTATAAATGACATTTCACTCTTATCCAATTTTTTAACTATTGCCCTCTTCGGTTCTTCTGTTATTAGAGTTATATTAGATTTTATTTTTCTTTTTAAGTTTATCTTATCTAATTTTTGATTTTTTAAATTTCAACTTTTTTTTTCTTTTCAAAAACTCAATTTCTCTCTACCTCATTTTTTTAGGATTTATCTAATTTTCTTTTTTTTTTTATTTTATTATTATTATATATTTTTATAGTTTATCTTCAAATTTAAACTTAATTTGTTTTTATTTTTATCTTATATTTACATAATCCACTCTTACCCTTGATTTTTAGTTAAACCTTTTTTTTCTCTAAAATTTATTTAATTAAATATAGTAAGATCATTCAAATATATCATTTCAATACCTATCTAAATTAATATAATAATATTTAATTGTTAATTTTTAACATGTTCCATAGTATTTATTATTTTTTGTTATTTATCCGGGCATAGTATGGGGTACTGCTAGTTAGAATATTTAATTGTGGGAGAAGTTACGAAACTCACACATCGGTGATGGATGGACTTTACTTTAGACATCTAATTAATTACTTGAGATAAGTTGTGCTGTTACAAAAAAGACCCTTTTTTCCCATTTCAAACATCCTGACACTCACCACCGGGGAGGGGGCGATGGACTTTACCTTAGATATCTAATTAATTACTTGAGATAAGTTCTGCTATTACAAAAAGAACTCTTTCTTCCTATTTCAAACATCCTGACACTCACCACTCAGGGTGGTTTAGTGGAGAAGATATCCTTCTTCACAGGCATGACTTAGGTTCGAATCTTAAGGGGGTGAAAAATGATTTCTTTGCAGTTGGTTCTCTCTTCAGAGACCTCGCCCTATACTCCGATTAAAATCTAGGTTCGTTTGTGACGTATAGTTAGAGGGGTAGTCTAGTGGAGAAGGCATTTTTTTCTACAGGCGTGACCTAGGTTTGAATCCTGGGGAGGGGGGTGAAAAATGGTTTCTTTGCAGCCAGCTCTCTTCAAAGATCTCGTCCTGTACTTCGATCGAAATCTAGACTCGTCTATGGCATATAGTTGAGCTCCGCTGATGTCTCGGTAGTGGGTTTCTTCTTATAAGTTGGGTCAAATCAGACTGACAACTAATTATTCTGGGACTGGGATCCACAAATGTCGTGATAACATCTCTGGACATTGGTCTTTGTCATTGTAAAAAATAAAAAATCCTGACACTCAAATTTTACATGCAAGGCCAATTAGAATTCTAAGTAATAGATATAAAGAAGCATTTGAATAAAGAAATGGCCACGTCATGAGGCCAAATTCTAAGCCAAGATCCAAAACAAGATATGTGGTCCTAACCTCTCCTTTTTAGCAAATTTTTATTATCTTAATCCTTAAGCGATGCTTAGTTGGTGGTCATTAGCATCAACTATTAAAAAATATTAAGTTATAATGATAGCTATTTTGATTTTAGAAAGAAAGAATATTTTTACATAATTTAAAAGTTATACATAAATTAATATATGTGGCAATTTTTTATTTTATAATTTTAAAATAAAAAATCAAAATTATTTATATTTTTAAAATTGTCACCAGTAAATCATTTTGATAAAAAATTCTTTGTAATATCAGTTCCCAAAAAGAAATGATGACCATAATCAAAAAAAAAAAAAAAAAAAAAAATCAAAAAAAAAAATCTATTTTATTTACACACTTGATAAAGTCTATGAAAACACACACACACACACACACACACACAACATATATATATATATGTATATGATTATTTAAAAGAATGTTATTCATTAGTCATATCATAATTGCTTCAATTTGAATTATCCAAATAACAATGCTTGATAGTTCGAATTTTCATGATTCGTATATTTATCCAAACAACAATGTTTTGTAGCTTGATTTTTCACGACTCGAATGTCTCAAAACGATGTCATTTTGGAAGTAAAACGACGTCGTTTTGATATATTCGAGCCATTTGGGCTACACAAATTCGAACTACTAAGCATATTTTATCCAAAAGATGTTTTGCCCTCGCTTGGCATAAGCTAAACGAGGACTTTTTGACTAAAATAGTCACAAAAAGACAAAATAGGTTTTTTAGTCTAATAAGACAAAATATCATATTCAAACCATAATCATTTCATTTTTTCTCTCATAAAAGTTAAAAAAGTCAAAAAGTCTATCCCAAACGAAACTTTTTAACCCCAGACAAACACTTAGGCCTCGTTTGGCAAGAGGCCATTTTAGCCAATTAGCCAAAAAGTTACTAAATTAGTCAAAAAGCCAACAACCCATACCAAAAAGTCAAAAAAAATTTTTTCTCTCTACTTTTTGCACATCTTTTCGTAATTAGCCAAAAAATCATCCCAAACATACAAGTTACGTTACTAAATTAGCCTGTTCCCAAACGAGGCCTAAGTCTAGGATTAAAAAGTTTCGTTTGGGATACACTATAAAAGACAAAAAACTAAAAAATTACTAAAAAAAAGTTGACACTATTTAGAAAAAGTCAATGGTACAAAACAAAAATTAAAACATTGTACCAGAACAATACACATCACGAGTACAAAACCAAAAAAAAATTAAAAAATAATTTTTTGTATGAATGAGGGAGACATGCATCACATCCACACACTGCCAAACAAAAAAAAAAACCAAATTTTCAAAACATTGTACTAGACCACTGTGGAAATAAAAAAATAAAATAAAAATCAACTTTTTCCAGTGCACACAGATCCACCAGATCCGAATTGACATGCGCGTGGATTTATATGGGTAAAATCATAATTTTGTTAATTTATAAAATATTTTAATACATATTTTTTCGTAAAAAGTTAAAAAATTATCCCAAACAATCATTTTTTTTCCCTCCACTTTTTTGCTCAAAAAGTCAAAAAGTGCACTTATATAATTCATCCCAAACAACCCCTAAAAGAGCCAAAAAGTCAACTTACATCCCAATGAACCCGTTTATATATTTATAAAATAAAAAAAAAAAGGCAATCAAACATATTTTAACTAATTAAATAGTATTCGTTATTCACACATTTTGTTAAATGTGCGATAAGATTAGACTCCAATCAATTATATTAAATTATGTATTGAGAGGGTAATTTGTTTAGGCAAATTGGACAGAGCTAGGTAAGATTATCTTTGGAGATTGGGCCGAGCACTAGGCCGGTTTGAGAGTTGGGATTGTTTAGCCTTGGGTTAAGCAAGCACTAGGCCAGTTAGAGGTGGGTTGCAAGGGCCTGGACCCAGTTATCGGTAGTCCATTAGCGAATTGAGATGTCTTCAATAAAGACGGCTAAGATATGTGTAGCTCGGCAAGTGCCACTCTGTAGCCAGGGTTAACGCGGCTCTGCCAGAGGAAGCACCGCCGTGGTGGCTCGGTTGACCGCAATGACAGCCAAACAAAGAGTTTGAACCATCTCACTTGATTGACAGTGAAAAATATGTTATAAGGAGAAGCGTTATCCTTTAGAAATGTGATTCCTAAGGGAATTCTGCTAAGAAGAGATAGAGTCCTATTAGGATTGTGCCATGCGAAATCTATAAAAGCTCATGACATAACCTATTTTGAGGCATTGCGATTCTGACTCTTGAATACACAAAACTTTTTGTCTATTGTCTACTTGTTGACTTAAGCATTGGAAGGGTTTCCGGCAGACACTCGTTGTTGTTCAACTTTTCGTGCTCCTTTCAGATATGACTACTAGCCCTACAGTTCCAACTCTCGTGATTTTGAATCTGATTCCACAAGTGCAATGTGAAATAGATAAACACAAAAGAGTCCAAATTCGGCAAATCTTTCGAAAAATCCATTTTAAATCAAAATGTCAAAAATGGACTGCTTTACCAGATACAAAGTCGCCACCTAAATATTTTTGAGAAATTTAAGAAACCCATGACTCGTGCCAAAGGCCACGTTTCTGTCATCACCAAGATTGTCTCGGCTCGGGAACTTAGGTACGAGAGGGGAAGGTCATAAATTGAACACCCCACTCGCCCAATCAAAGATCAACCTCTTACTAATTATGATGTGAATCTTATTTACATTATATGCTCTTGTTACGATTATTAGGCTAGCATTACTATATGATGCGCACACAAGTATAGACTAATTTACAAAAATTGAAATACTTTGATTTGTGTTTTTTTTTTGAAA